ATGCCTTTAGCATCATGCTTAGCATATCACCAGTGTGACAGGTGTTCAAATGATACTCAATGACCTCATTCAGAGAGTAAATACAACCTTACAGGTTCAGATCCAGAGAGCAACTAATTATCCATGCAGGAAGCTCAGCTCCAATGTAGACATGAAATCAGGGGCCAATTTTAAAAGTGACAGAGAATGTAGAAAGACTACATGCGATGTAACCTTATCTAGCCACATAATCATAGTTAAATCAGAAAAGCAGACAGAAGTTTAGTTACACTTCTTTTTAACTTCATTAAAACAGATAAATATTGCTGATAAAAATACCTGCTGCGTTTCATTCAATATACATTTTTGTGATGATTTGTCCCATTATTCCCTGTTTAATCTTGCCTGGTCACACAAAAAATACATATAAATGCATGTGTAGTTATTAGAATGTTGGGAAAACTCATACTAAAATTGATAAATATTAAATGTGCTATAACACTCATATAGTTTGCTTTGAAGCTAAATGCATTTATTTCATAGTCTGTGAATTTTTATTGTTCTGTATTTGACTACCAGAAGCCTAGAGTTTATTGACACAGGAAATGAATCTAACTCCCTCAGAAGGAATATTTTGTCTTTAAATGTAGAAAATTAGTGCTGGGGTACACACATATAACATTCAGTAGCAACCAAAGCTGAAACTACTAGTGTTTGGAGAGGGATATGTTTAAAAGTGACACAAACTGCCAATGTTTCTTAGGTGTTTTAATATACTGACTTCAAACTGAGTACATGTAAATCCTTTGTGACTTGAATGATTTCATTTACTGCCATAACAATTGGTTAATTTGACCCCAAATGATCAAAAGGAAAGGTTATTGAGACACTTCCTGTTGAATCTTAATACAGGTAAGAGTGAGAAGCTGATGACACAAAGGGTGTAGGAAACAAGTAGCATTTAGAACTTGCCTTCAGAGGAGGCAAAGAACACAGGTAAAATCGATACCCCAGGCCTCAGTGTGAGTACCTTAGGACTGAGAGAGCAGGTACTGGCAAACGTCTTTACCAGCAGCTGTTAGGTTGCCATAGGCAACACTGTAGGAGTAGATACCTGGCAAATGGAACCATGCTCTGGCTGGGAAAAAAGAGGCAGGAATTGCTTAGAAACTGATGCTAAAATCTGAGTCATAAGCACAGGTGAGGCTTATATTTGCTGGAACTAAGATTATATGAGTGCAAATTCAAGTCACTGAAATTTGGGTATAGATACAATCATACCCTATTTTATAGGCACAGATGTGAGCCTGGATGACACTTCTGTTTTAAGAACTCACTGTTTTAAAATTACTATACTTGGGTATGATTGATGGGAAGAACCCTAAGTACATCTGGTACAAAACTCTGAGTTTGAAGATACATATTCGTCCATGAAACCATTCCCATTGTCAAAGCCTTATAAAATGGGAATAATCATATCTGCTCAGAATTTTTGTGAGGATAGCATTAGTTAATATGAATAAAACATGCAAAGAATGTCTAGAATTTACAAGCTCCATTCAAATGATACTATTCAATCAGTGTTAACCCTAAATTAGATACTTCTTTTATTTGCTCTAATAATTGTGTTAAGTATTAATATGTGATCTTTATCATATCCTTTACAAAGGGGGAAATTTTTTATCTTACATTTTTGGCAATGATGCTCACACTTAGATGAAGACCATGGACAAGGAATGCAATGTAAAACCACTTTTAAAAGAGACTTCAGTGCTTGTCTATTCTGAAAGAACAATGACACAATCCAAAGAAAATTTTGATCTTGATAAACCAGTAAGATGATGGGAACATTTGCAAAAGAAAGTGACAGTAACAAAATAGTTCATGAGGAAAGGTGATGAACCGGTTCAGGTTAAAGCCAAATTTCCAAACATCTAGGGTACCTCCTGTGGGTAACCTGAAGAAGCAGCTCTGTGCTTTAAGCATATCATGCCCTTGGAGTCCAGCTGCAGAGCAGGTGTTATAAGCTTATCTTTCTTCATCAGCAGCCACGAACTTGGAGGTCTAAGCACCTGCTTCAGTTTATGCTACTCCACTGGTTCAAATGTCCCACCTCCTTGGGTTGTCTCATTCATTAAGTGTAAGACAGCAGAGAGAAGTTCTCCAAGGCCCTGGGTTAGTGATGAATGTGGATATCATGTACTTCTTAGATCTGGACTAGCATATTCTCACTTTTACAGCAATCTCTCTCCAACTACAAATGTTACTTCAAAAGAAATATATCAACAACCATGAATGTCCCCTCCATTTGTTTTATCTAACTCAACTTTTCTCATTTCTAGTATATCTGTGTTTACTGCAGAGCACAGGTTTCTAATGTCCACAAATAACATTACCTTCTGGGTTTATACCTGGGTGGCATGGAAAAGCTTTCTGTAACTAATAAAAAAATGCAAGGCTGATATTCCAAGTGTCCAACCAGAACAATATCAATGGACCTACTACATTTTTTAGTGACAAAAACCTTAGGGACACATTAGTACCCAGAAATCTGTGGCCTATCTGAAAGAGATTTGTGTAACTAGACGCTCTTCTGGTAAGTCAAAATTTAATATCAATTGTTCATTCCACATAAGAATTTTAAATCATCCCCTATATCAGGTTATAATCTAGGCTAGAGATACAACTGTGATTGAGCTGTTACAAATCCAGGATGGGATATCACACTGCTTAAATTTTGTAGGACAATATCATTAAGTATAAAACATAAATGATAAGATTACAGCTAAATTAAATAGTCCAACACTGTCAGACTAGAATATGACTGAGTAGTGTGTTAGTTTACTTTACCTAATCTGGAAAAGTCTTTATGGAGCTGACACCTAAGCTGAGAGGAAGACTGACATAACTGAGGGACAGAAAGAAATCCAGTGTCATAGAAGTACACAGTAGAGGAAACACTGGACATAAAATCATAGAAGTTATCTTGAGTTAGACACGCAGTTCAGAAATTGTTGTGACACATGAACTCCAATGTATAAAAAAGTTCTAATCATGGTAAAGTTCAGTCAAATGGAAAACATAAAACATCCACTTTTACTGCCTACTTGTGCCAGCACTTGAAACGTCCCTCTTCAACCTGTTCATTTGTAGAGAGGGCTCACAGTGGGCAAGTACTGAAGGAAATTTGACTTTCATCATTTACTGCTCCAAAGGAACCCTTAAAACTCCCCTTCTTCCTGGGTCTGGATAAGCTTTCTGAAAATGTCAGATGAAAGATCACGTATCCCCAACAGTGCAAGGACAAACTCAGTGCCTCCCTGGTGAATAAAAGACCTGGATAAATGATCATAGAACAGTCTGATAATTTGAAAATGCCTCATGTGCAGTGACACTTATACTAAGAAAGTCACACTGTCTGCTTAATTAGTCCATTCAAAGGAAAAAGTTAGCGTTTTTTCATCTCTGCATCCTAACAGCTTTCTGCTCTCCAACAAGCTCATTCAAAGGTGTCTCTAAAGAAGTAGTTAAATGATTTTAAACAGTTTAAAAAACCATTCAAAAACAAAAGAAAAATAAACCCATTAACATGTTAATGATAACTATAAACCAAAATAACAAAGAAAAGTAAACAAATAACCAAGCTGGCATTAACCTACTCCTTTTCCTCATTGCCTTTGCTCTGGCCATGTCCATTAAAATTGCCCTCAAACCACAGATTGACTTCCTAATTTTTCAAAATGTATATTTCTCACATTTGTGTATTTGAATATGCCCATCAACAAAGACACACATGGAAACACACACACAATCTTGGGTGTAGGAATGCCAGTCCAAACCTGTCATCATTAGACAGGTGACATCCCTATGTTATCATTTTATTAAATATCTTAGAGATGCATAACCTTGTAATCACCGTGGAGTCTATGCATTCAATGGTCTCTTACCTCTGCTGAGACACAAAGAGAAAGGGACCATTTAATTTTTGCACAGTTAAATGACACGAAATTGTCAAAGAAGAAATGGACTAAGACACTTTATCTGTCAATGAACATATCTCAGTCAACATTTATTGAAACCTATTACATTCAGGCAGAAGCAGCAACATAATTTGCTCCAGGGAATGGCAAAATGAAAATGCTGTGTCTCTTTTTGGAAAATTATGAAGAAAGTCCGAGATGGCAGCAAAAGAGCATTAATTCCAGTTGGGTCCTTCAGAACATGAGACTGTGAGTGCTTACACAGGTACATACATATAAGTCCTACTTTTAAGCATCTGAGAGAAAGAAAAGAGAAAAAGTCTCAATAATGGCTGGTAGAGCAGAAACGATGGATGGGTTGCAGAAGATCAACCTAAGTTTGGGAGAATACAAAGCTTTTAGCTAGGCAATCCAGGGACATGTCTACAAAGAAAGAAGTATGGGAAATTTACCTTGAGGTATTAATTTTGATGAACATGGAACCAAAGAAGAAAAAATATTTCTGGAAGATTAAAAGTAAAAATTTGCAAATGGAACGTCCATATCTTTGCAAATCAAGCTTTTTAAATAACACTGTAACTTTTTTAGTAGATATGAATGATATTTAAGAAGCAGACAAGAATTTCATGTGTAATATAAACTAATGTCACCAGGAATGGTTTAGGCTTCTTTTCCACTTCAGGATTCTGGTTTTGACCCATGATTCTTGTGACAAGCAGAGCTGATGGACTGAACTTCTGGGGCATCGGGTGTTGTCTTTCGAGGAAAAAGCAGGGCTAGATATACAGGAAGAGAGGACATTCCGATTTGAGGTGTGGGAAAGAGGAATATCTTAATCTCAAAAGATGGACAATGGAGGGAAAGGGGAAAGGAAAAAATAAACTACTGGATATAAGAAAAGTTGATGAAGGCTGAAGAAACAAACAACAAGAAAAGGCATACCTCTTCTTTTTGCACCATGAGCCCAAGACAACAAGCACGACCAGAGCGACTGTTCCAGTCAGATATGCCAGTGTCAAGAGAATGGAGATTCCGCCTACTAGGAGTAAAATAAACACTTCACTCCGTGAAGCACTCTTATCACATTACACCAAGGCATCTAATGTTGCAGGGCAATGCGGGTCTTGGAAATTTCAGGAGAATTCTCTAGAGCTTTCATGTCAGTTCCATTGAATCACTGTTCCTCCTCCACCCCAACCTTTTTCCAGCAACTCATGAGATCCCTTTTTTTCCTCTTTAGTCCCTTTAATTCCCTACTTTCTTTTCCTTCATATTTATCTGCTGCCATTCTCTACCCTTCTTTCTTTCAGTTCTCCCACCTTTACCTTTCTTGCATCTAGCATTCATACCAAATTCCCCAGCTTCTCACCAAAACCCCTAGGTCCATCCTGGACAATTTCCAACTTAACCCTCATTCTTTCTCACCCCAGTGAATGATTATATCATGGCCTCCCAGACTGCTGTGCTTCACTCGGCAAGACAGCCCAGCGGCCTCCTCAGCCGCCACATCCAGACTTGCTTGGAGATACCATGTGTCATCAGCATTGGGCAGGACGTCCCCTCTCTTAGTGCCCTTCTGCTCCTGCTCAGCCCGCATCCACATCACCCACACGGGCTTGGGGTGGAAGCCAGAGACGTGGCACAGCAGCTGCAGACGGCCAGGCCCAGGGCTGGGGCCTCTGGAGAGCCAGGCCTCAGGCTTCACTAAATAGGAGAAGATAAGAAGAAATGGAACTTTGATGAGCACCTCTGACCAGAGCACAGGTGCTCAGGTGGCTTAGCAGTTTCAGGAATCACTTCTGTCTCTTTTCAAAAACAATACAACAGACATTATTCCCTCTACCCTCTCATTGTATGTTTCAAAATGATGAAGGAAAGTACTAAATTCAAAAAATCAAAGTACTAGAGGTAGGAGGGGAGAGAAGACTGGGCTCACCTTGCTGTTCCAGTTCTGACTTCCCTGCTGCAACAAGTCCTTCCAGAAATCGAGGGCAGATGTTACTGAGAAGGTACTGCACTATCTCCTTAATATCTCGGTAGTGACTAAGCATCTGACAAACACTCTGGGCCCGACTTCCTGCTCCTGGAGATGGCTTCCAAGAACCTCCTTGGAAACTCAGGAAATCAGATCCTTGGTATGCCACATTTACGAAGCTCTCTGAGGCCTGCCCACCATACCAACTACATCCTGCTGACATCTGAAATTCAAAGGGGTCTACAGTGGGCAGAAAACAAAATTAATATGGAAAGAATGACAGGGGGAACACACACCCAATCTGCTGCATAACAGGGTGGGCGTCAGTGCTGGGGAATGACATGGGAGTTGAGAGTTGGCACAGAAAATGGGAAGGAAATTTGTAAGAAGACATTCTAAAAATAAAGATAATTTGAAGTAACTAATAGGAAGCATAGATGGGCATCTGTCAGGGGGACAAGAGAGGAGTCTTGAATAACTCATACAGCAGAAATGAGATCCAGATTGTGGCATAAGAAAACTCAAGCCACAGAGAGAGAAAACCGAAGATGAGGTTGTACCCAAAGGTAGGACAGATGGGCACACCCATCTGTGATATTTGCATATGGTGGATAATGAAGCAGAGGAGGGAGGGAGTGTAAACCAAAGGGAGACATAGAATAAGGCCAGAAAGTTGGAGGATGGTCAGAGGCTCTACACCATCTCATACTCTGAAGATGACAAGAAATCTCAGACAGAAGATCATTTGGGAATATTACACTCACATTCAAGCTGAAACTGGTCAGCAAAGGCGTTCACTTCCATGGGGAAGCCATGGATGTACAGCTTGCAAAGTGCCTGAAGTTTCTTCAACTCCTCCTTGCTGAAGTCTCCTTGGGACCAGGGCCTCAGAAACTGGATGGTGTCTGTGGTACTGTTCCAGCTGTGAGTCTGCAGATCACCCAGCCAGGCTGAGCCGTGGAATTGTACCCAGGTGTGGGTCCTGAAGGAGGCAATGTGGAGAACATGGAAAATGAGGCGCTCTTCTGCTGCTGTTGCTTGGTGCAATCCTAAAGCCTGGGGGTCTGAAACAGAGAGTGACGGGATGAGAGAGTGCAAGTAATGGGAGAAGAGATCCTACAGAATGAAGAGAAGTTCAGAGTGAAGAGCAAGAAAGAATATTGTTGCAGACTGCACCTATCCCAATATGCCCTACCCCCTTGCCCAGCTTTCTACCCTCAAAATCAGATTTGGGGCAAGAAATTTCTCCCTGTAAACCAGCCTGGAATGCAGACAACATGAACATCTACTAAAATCATAGTTTCCTCATCCAGGTCCTCCCCAGAACTTTCTCTCCTGTGTGCCCAACCACAGACATCTCTTCACCTGAGCACTTCTTACCTGCTGTGCTTTCCCCATGGCAGACAAGCCCCTTGAAGAACAGGAGGATGAGGAGCAGCATTGCAGCTTTGGTAAGTTAGCCAGAAAACTGCCTTCTCAACTCAGATATCTGCTGTCCTTCCCTCACCCACTCACACTCTCGTCTGTCTTCCTCTGCTGCACAGACTAACCTCTCCCCTGCACACTTCCCTACAGGAGAAGTCTCGCTGCCTCCCGCAGCTGCCTTCTCCCACAGGTTCTCTCATTTCCCCTCCTGTCTCCCACTAGTGGCTTCCAGATTGTCTCCCTGCTCTTAGCTACATTTTCCCGGCCTTGCCTATTACAAGACCTGATGCTAAAAAGTTTTTTCATTTGGGCAAAGTCTGCCTGCCATCAGACAGAAGCCATCAGCTGTTTTTGGCCTTCAAGAAATCAAGTCCACACTTGGGTTCTCAGTATCTCATCTGCAAAAGAAAGTGTTGGAAGTTACCTGATGTTGCCCAGTAACCCCTCCAGCAATCTCCCTACTGCTTGCCTATCTGTGGTCTTTTCCTCCTGTCTCACACATCACCTCCCTTAATCCCTCGTTTTGGTCCTCCTGGTCTTTCTGCTGACTGGTTGTTTGTGACTGAGTCTGCTTTTCATCTTCTCACAAGCTCTGCCTGGACTCTGTTTCCCTGAGTCTCTCCTCTGTCCCTTCATTCTTCTCTTCCCAAAGTCATTGTCAGAAGACAGGAGGGCTCCGACTAGTACTTGTACAATTCTTAGGCGAATCTGTATGATCCATAGTGAAAAAGAAGCAACAATGACAAATTAATGTATATGATCAAATAAGCCAAAGACAATGTACCTCTTCTCAGATTCACTAGTCAATCCGGGGGTCACTGTTAAGAAGGTCTCAGAGTGGGCTTGAGCTGGAAGTGGTGAACTGCTGGGAAGGCAGATTTTAACTCATGGTACAGTAGTGGTCTGTGGAAGGGATACACTGTGTCCTTGGGTACACACTGCTACCCACATGAGGTGTGCAAGTCTAAAAGTGTGTGGGCTAGCTGCAGATGGATGTGAAGAGGGAGAGAAGACAGGTCAGAAGGTTTCCCATCATAGCTCATGTCCTTGCTGCTCTCTGGATGGGCAGTGGTCTTCTTGGATACTGAAACATGGCTTTAGAGGACTCCAGTGTCCATGGGAGAACTGATTATTTTATCATGTCTTTATTTTTGTTCCTTTATCAGTTATGGTTTTCATAAAAGTCTGAAAACAGTCAAAACATCATTACTTCTCTTGGTTTTCTTTCTTT